CGCTCGAGCTCACAAACACGATCACAAAAATACGAAAGCTATCGAGAAAATAATTCAATTATCGCAAAATCTCCGTCTACAACTGAAAAGCACGGGAATCCCAACACGGTTGAGCTAATAAGTAGAAAAAACCAAAATGCAAAAAAGGTCGAGTCGAGGCGATGACGGCAGAAGTCGAGGGATCACAAGGCAACGACTATATCTTTCACGCAAAAAAACTAAATAAATAATCATTTTCTTCCGTTATTGCTGTGGCGGTGGCTGGGATGAGAATCCGGTGTCGTCGTACAGCGAATCGGCTGAGTTCGGGCTAAAACAGGCATACTATTACTCGCTACTAGTTTCTAAACGGTTGATAACGCCAGCTGAAACGACAATTTTCAAAAAATGACCAAAAATTCCAAAAAGCCAACCGGCATCATCGAGATCATAACTTACGACGGATTTACAAGGGTTCCATGCTTTTATAGATTGTAGTATAACTTTTTAAGCCACCTACCCAGACAATTCACGCTGCAAATCGGCCATGTATTGATGCGCCTGCGCGTAGAACATCATTTGCGCTTCCACAAAGTCGCGCAGGCATTTGAGTTGGCTGTTCTGAAATGTGGAAATGTTCTTTATCGTTTTTCGTTATTTAAAATATCGTTTTTATAGCAGAAACTATTTTTAAGTGTACAAGGTATCTAAAAATACCCATTGATACAACCGCACGATTTTGGATCACATAAATTCAGCCCGCGGCGGTCAAGCGCCCGTCAAAATTGTGTCCCACCAAAAATGTTGGGCGCAGAATTAATGCGGCGCATTGGTAAAAGCGCTCTCTTCAGCTGCTACAACCTTTCCATCGTATATTTTGGCGTTACGAACCTTTCCTAAAGTTTTTTCCGCGCTTTTTGGCCTATTTAGACTTCGGAAATCGATGAAAACTAAAAAATCTTGTTCACTTACATGTGCCGACTGAATTCCCTCCAGCAAAAGCTTCGTAATCTCGGCCTGCTTGTCGAATTCGGCCTGGGCCACTCGCAAGTCTGCTTCAGCCTAAAATTTGGGTTTTTCTTGGGATTCTTTGCATTATAATAGGTCACATTCTATTCACCACCTCACAACATTTTATCAAACCTGTTCTACGGTAAAACCGCCAGTGGTGCGGCTATTTCCCTGTAAGAATAGAAAACTAGTGATGCTTCCTAGCGGTTAGATCTATAAAACAAGTTTTGAACTTACGGCAGTCGTCGTCTCCATCGTTTTCGCCTTTTTCAAGCGGCTCTTGCAGGCATCGAGGTCGAGGCGTTTGCTGTTCAGCACCTTGCGTTCTTTCTGAAAACGGGAAATCATCATTATTTTTTTTTTGATTATTTTACCGCTTTTTTAGCTTTATTTTATTTTTTTATGTGTACATTATGCTACACCTTACGATCAGTTGTCTAGTGGAATTTTCGCTGTGGGACCAGAGTAGGGTCAACTTTAGCTTTCCGGCCATCATTTTTCAAAATGATCCGATTTTTTCTCGTTTTTTTTTCAACGAAGTTTTTCCTTTTCGTACTTCCTTTTCGTACTTTCGTCCCCTTTCCAAGCATCAAAAGTTGTCATCACTTTTTTTTAGAAGATTCTTGTATTTTATCAGTCTTGTCTGAGAACAATTTAGGTACTTATCAAGTTGGGGGGGGGGGGCCACTTTGGTTTTCGACTTTTTGAGTCTTTCTAGGCTGGTTTTTTGTGCTGGTTCCGAATATAACAAAATCAGAGTAGTAAAACATCATTATCTAAGCGCTTGTTAAGAGTTAGAGTTTCAGCTACCCAGTTTGAGCCTAAAAATAAGGCTTCGTGCCACCCGGGGCCTAGTCGCTTCGGATGGGTGCGAGCTCGTACAGGGTTTCGAAATCGGGGCGCCCGAGGAGCGCGAAGCGCCCAGGCGCCCCGATTTTGAAAGAGTGGAGCGGCAGCCCATCCGAAGCGACGGCCCGCCTTGCCTGACGATGCGGCATGCCCAAATTGTGCATAAGTCCACTTTTTCTTAATAAATTTTTTACGCTGTTTTTCTGGATAAACCCAACGGTTTGACATGCTGTTGCGACTCTAATCGCATTCAGCGTAAAAAACTACCCTAGAAAGACTCGAAAAAGCGATAAAAAAGTGTCTCCTAATAGGTATCCAAAGTGGCCCCCCCCCAACTTGATAAGTACCACAATTTATGCTCCATTATCCTTGTTTTGTTGCGTTTCGCGTTGTCGCACACTTCGAAAGTAATCTTTTCTTTTCAGCCCCGGTTCGCTAACTATGAAGACAGCAAGGCGGCCGTCCGCGGTCAGCACCTCGAGCTGCACGGCCCTCTACGAAGGTTTCAAGCTCGTCGCCCCCAACTGCCCGATATACGCAAAGCACCAGCTGATGCCGTCCAAGATTTTCGTCGGCGGATTTGCACCAGATGTGAGTTTGTTTTCTTATTTCAATTCTCCCACTTCTAACTTCTGCATCTTTCTTTCATGACGTTTAACCCGCGCTTTTGTGGCTTTTTACTTCAGTTTTGAAACAAAAGGGGCCCTCGCCTGCTCAAATCATTACTTTTAGCTTTCTCTATCATTCCCTGTAAAATGTCTGTTTCAGGTTGATGAGAGCGAGCTGGGTCAAGTGCTCCTGATGGCCACTCAAACCGAGATCAGGGAAGTGCGCATCGTGCGCGACCAAGACACTGGCGCCTCGAAGGGCTTCGGCTTCGTCACTTTCAACGACGTCGCATCTGCCGACGCTGCACGCAATTTGGTCAACATTCTTTCGGCTTCTTTCACCGTTTTTTTACAGCCACCCGAGAAGCTCGTACTGAAGGGACGCCAGCTGAAGGTCGGTGTGGCCTATCGCAAGTTCCCTCACCAAATAAGACCTCAAGGTATGGCTACTTTTCTGGTATTACTTTCTGCTTTAGACTATAACATAATCACACCGGACGGCGAGGAGAAGCCCAGCCGCGGTTTCCACTACATCTTCCCGACGTCGGCCCCGTACGCACTTCTCGGTCTCCCGCAGCCCACCGCCTTCGCCATGCCCGTCAGCAGTGCCAGCTACCACCCAGAAGCGCCCGTCGTCTCGCCCAACACGCAAACCAGCCAGAATTACGACTTTTCATCAGGTACACCAACTTTTCTGCGGTTTTACTGTTTTTAGGTCCGGTTACGCCGCGAAGCGCCCAGTCGACCCCTTCGGCCGATTCGAACGACATGCAGCCCTTGGTGCCACACGGATCGCCGGTGATGGGGCACGCGTACTACAACATGCCCACGACGCCGATCGGTGTATGTTTTACATTTTTTTTATCATGCTTTCGGAAGAGTTCTTCGGTGATCCAAATGTGGTTTTTTAGGCGACGGCCCCGCTCCTCTACCAGAACTACTACCATCTGACGCCGCCCGGTCACGACACCGGACCCTACCCGCGTGACGGCAACTACAACTTCCAGCCGATGATGAGCCAGCTCGCCTACCTGGCCCAACAGCAAGCGGCTTATGGTGGCAGCAGCAGCAACACGGGCTTCGTTCAAGGCGACGGACGTCACGAGGTATCGTTTTGAAACTTTTCCGCTTGCGTTCTTTGGTATTTCCCAGGGTGGGGCCCGAATTTTTTTCCTAGAATTTGAAATTTCGTTCGTAAGACTGAAACATTTCAAATGTTGGGGAAAATTAGCGCACCCTGGAAATACTCAAGAATCGCGCGTTGTAGTTTGTCGTGTTTTTGCATTGCAAGAACTTTTTTCTAGGGCCACTACAGCCGCGACAGCAACGCACAGAAGAGCAGCTCGAGCGGCAACCGGCTGAAGTCTCAACGAAAATATAGTGAGTAATGCCTTATTATTGCCCTTAACTTTCCTTTGTTTAGACAACAAGCCGGGCATGGGCATGACGCCGCCGAGCACGCCGAAGGATCAACCGCCAAAGCGCGACAAGCACTACCAGCAACAACACTAGCCGCCGCCTCGTCGTCGTCACCCCGGCCACCCTCACCCCAACACGTACACGCACACACCTAATATTTGTGGACCCGTCGAGATTTTTCGAGCTATCACTATCTGCGCGCGCACACACATTGTTATGCCCCAACTCTTTACACTATCGCAAATGTGTTGTTCTATTATATTTTTTCGTGTGTCCCTCTAATTTGTTGATCCTGTTAATAAAAATGTTAAACCGTTTTTGGAGTTCGAAAAGAAAACCCTTCTGAGAATTCACTATGATGTATGAAACTTTTGGAGGACGAGGTTTTGTTGCCATTTGTGAAACATTGGCCTACCTGGATTGTTCGCATGTCTCCTTCGAGGAATCTTCTGATTGGGAGAAGCGTGTGGCTGGCGGATTGGGCGACGAATTCGCGTTCGGTCTGGCCGAGCTTCTGCTCCGTGTGTGCAACTTTGGTGAGGGCGCTGCCTGAATTGGTTTTAGTTTTTATGCGTTGTGAGGCTTTTTAAAACTCCGTCTAATTTTGTTCTGTACCGAGACTCCGAATAGTTCACAGTCGCAATAGCTTTTCGACCATCGCAGCTTTATTGCAAAACAAACAGGCGCTCACCATACCTTTTGTATCAAAGCAAAAATTATATAAGGTAGAATTTTTGCAGTTAGGCCAACTCGTAATGTTTTAGTTTTTACGCCCCGTAATCTTGCGCTTTGCTCGCAATCGTTTTGCCAGGGAGATTTCATCTCTACGAATCGTCGGTTCTAGCTTTATTGGTAGTGATCTACTCACCATATGGCGTTGAAGGCCCGAATTCCTCGCCGGCCTCCTGCATAGCTTGCGCTAGGTGCTCCAAATTGTTCTGGCGGCCACCATCTTTTCGAAGCTCCAGTTTCTCGTAGAAAACTTCCTCCATTCGGACAGCTAAAATTATGGGTTTTTTTGCATTTTCCATTCGGAAATTTGCATTCAGGTGCCTTGGGGTTTTTGTGGCGCATAACTCCTTTCTCTGTACAGCGCTATCCAGTCAAGCGTGAGATCTTATTAACGGCTAGGGTGATAGGGAAAGTGGATCCGTTTTTGCGCTAGCTTTTTGGGCGGATTGCTAGGAATGTCAAACTGAATTAGGTAGGGCAAATAGAGGAGGATTTTTAGTTTTTATTCAGTACTTACTTGGGTTCGGCTGTAGATAGCTTTCGATACATCCGAGTAGTTTCCGTGTGTGTTCCTCCGTTTTGTCGGCTCGGACTAATAACGCCTCGAAGTGCGGGTCGAGCTCGGTTTTCTCGGCTTTGAGGAAGGTTTCTTCGGTGTACTAAATGGTTTGATTTAGACGCTACCATTAGGCGTTAGATATTCATTGTGCTGTTTTTCAAGCTTATATAGAAGATTTAACACTTCTTTTCGGTCTAGTTTCGAGTTTCAGCAACTTTCATACCTGTTTCGCTCGGCTGAAAAAGCCACTCGCGTCGCTGGCCATCTTTTTAATGTTGAAGTCCATGGCGACTGAAAAAGGTGCTATTTTCCAAGGGCTTTTGCTCGAAAAACGTAGGATTTTTTCAAAAAGAGAAAACACCACAATAGACATGATTCTACGCCGAAAAATGCGACGGCAGGGCGAGAACGGCGCGCGCCCCCGCCTTTTCGGCTGGCCGGGGGTTCCGGTTTCTAACGAGTCACAACAAAAAAGCAGCGGCTCGTCGGCTCGAACATCAATATTTAGGGCGGCCTTTGTGCAGCGGGGGGTCCCTGCAGAAAGCGAGGGCCCCTTGCGAAACGGCCGAAAATGGGCACACTGGCAAAAAAGGGGGGCCCGAAGAAGGGCCTTTGGGGGGTAGGGGGTGGGGAGAGCAGCTGAGGGCCCGATGGCAGGAAATGAAAAAGGAGGGCAAACCCCCTAGGCTCTAAAATCCCGGGCCGTTAGGGTGGGGGGAACTCGAGAAGAAGCATTGGGAGCAAGAAGGTGTCTTGGAGAGAATCATAGTACCGTTTAAAGAGAAGGGGAAGTTAGCGGGGTTCTGGTTTCTTATCTGGGGGGGGTAAAAATTCATATGTTGTGTTTAATCCCCGTAAGTAATGCGACTATTTTCATAATTTCTAGTAATTTCCCATTACTATCATAAAAATTTAATATTTTTTAAAGTGAAAAATTTAGTAATTCTGACGATTTGCCTAAATTTTTGACCAAAAATGAGCCGCTATTCAGAGATAGTTTCTATTCGATTATCTGGCGCTAACGGGAAAATTGGAAAATATGACCCCCCCCGATAACTAACCAGAACCGTGTTCGCATAAAGTTGAGGCTTCAGGAACCGGAAGGTCTAAATGCCGCCCAAAATTTAGTTAGTTTTGTTTCGCTTAGCTTTAAGGGGAAGAAACTTACAAGAACTTGTTAGGGGAATAACCACTACCTGAAAGAAAATAGTGTCTAGTCTACGATCGAAAAAGCCCTTGTTCTAGCATTTCCCCAGTTGCCCAGCACAAAACATTGAAATCGGAAGCTAGGCGGCATGAGAGGGGGCTCTAGGCTCTCGATGGGTCCCCGGAATTAGTTCCATTCTGGAGCCACACGGCAGGCCAGCCGAAGGGGGGCAAAGGACCAAGAAGGGCCCAAAAGGCCCGCTGCTTATTTATGGAGGATTGTCAAGGCTGGCTGAGGAGGAGGAGGTATATAATTATTACGGCAGATCGATGGTGGGAATGGAGAGATGGGTCCAGGGTAGGAATTTATAGAATTCTTATGAGATGATCGCCGTTGATTTTCTGGTTTCTGATTATTTGATTTTGCAAGAGACTTAAGGAAAGTGAAGCTTATTTGTGCTTCTCAAGATATTTCATTGCTTTAAAAATGTATTTAAAGAGATTTAGCGAGAGCAGATGAAATTTTTGCGCATTTTTTGACAATTTCCGGTTTGGAAAAGATCCAAGATGAAGCCTAGCTAGCTACCTCTTTCAAGTTAGGATGGCCTCGTGGGAAAGTAAGACAGCTCCAAGTCGATTTCAGAGTTGTTAGGATCAAAGAATTGCGAACGAAGCGTAAGGAAAAATAAGTTTCGAAATGCGCTAGAAATATTCTAAAAAAAGTGATGTTGCGGAGGATTCGACAACCTTAAGATGTGAGAAGTAGAAATTAATTGAAAAATTTAAAAAGAATTGAGCAGAAACGCTCAAATTTAGTCAAGATTTAATTTTCAAAGCAGAGCTTGGGAGAATTTACAATTCTGATAAGTCACTTGGCCATCTCTAACGAATTGAGAGGCAGCGTAATGAAGAAGAAGCGCTCAAATGGGTCAAGTCCGATACAGGGGCGTATCCAGAAAAAATTTCGGGGGGCCAAAAATTTTTCCAAAAAACTCAAAGCATTGCCGAAAAACAGCTACGTGAAAAAAACGGAAAACTCAAACTTGAAAAAGGTTACATGGCTCTACAAATAGCCGTAAAAACGTGAAAAAATAGCGCCGCAGTCAGCAAAATTTTTGAGAAGATAAAAATCATAAGGGTCCCCCCTTATGAAATTTTCGGGCCCCGGCCGATTTCGGGGGGCTGGCCCCGGGGCCTGTATTACGCTACGTCCCTAGTCCGATATGAAAAAGAGGAGTGTGAATACACAATGTTTCGAACCTATTTGGCCATCTCTCAAGAAGTCAAAGTCAAAGCACAAGCCTAGAAGTCGTCTCGAAGCCCGTCAACAATCCCAAGCCGTGAAAATCGTTTCCACCTTGCCCCCGGCGGCAAAAGTGTCGTTTTACGTGGGCAAGGCGCCTTTGGCAGTGCCCGCGGCGGCAGGAAGTCGTGCAGCACCCCCAAATTAGCGCCCGGCCTAATGGATTCCAGGGGCGGGCGGGGCGAGAGAGTGGGGCGAAGGGGAGGGCTGAGACTCACGACGCTGGCTACGGTGTTTAGGTCGGGATGTAGGGCACGGCTGGCTGCGACGGTAACCTAGGCGATTCGGACATAAACAGAAGAGGAAGAAAGGCTAGGGCTACGAGTTTTTCACGTATTGTCCGTTAAAATGCGTCTTAAAACTTTGCAATCGAGCGTTCCGCGACACTCCGATGCGGTTTCGGCTGTTGGGTAAGCTTGCTATTACAATTTAAGGAGCTTTTGGGCAATTACCATAACCGAAAAATCGGTAGATTTCCGGACCGGTTTGAAGTCTAGGAAACTAGTTTTTTTCGCACATAATAAGCATTTTAAAAGGGTTTATAATGAATTGATGAGAGATGATAAAAAGCTCTCTCTTCCAGCTGGTCCTCAAGCGATGAAATGGTCTCCTGCTCCGACGACCACTCGTTTTTGAAGTGGAATCTGGTGACGATGGAAGCCACGCAAGTCGCGACTCTACCCGAGTGGGTTGTAGTGATTGCAATAGAATAAGAAAATACGCTACATTAACCTCGCTGCTTAAAACTATTTTTGGAGTTAAAAGAGTTTGGAAGGCACTACAGTAGTATTAGCGTAGTAACGCCCATTTGGCAGGTCGTTTTCTCGAAAAACTTCGAAACTCGATAGGTACAGTAAGTAACGATTAATTCGCAATTTCCAGCTCTCTGTTCCCCACCTCGATGTCGTGGTTTCCACGATCGTTGACCAAGGGCGGAAATGACGTGTTGGCGCTGACGTCATCTGATGGTAAGCCGTAGATATTCAGGAAAATTCGAATGGCAACAGTCTCCATACCATCGAGTCATGCCAATTCCAGGAAAACTTCACATAATCGCCCGTAGCGGAAAAATCGAAAAATCGGTAGATGCTCATCGCGGAGCCGCCCTCAGTGCTAGATGGAGCCATGATGGTACGGGGCTGATTACTTGTAAGTTTCATCGCCGTCAATCTAATTCTGTCCATTTTCAGGTGGGGAAGACGGTGCCGTGAAAATGTGGAGTCGAGCGGCAATGTTGCGAAGTGTACTCGCCCAAATGGCTACCCCTGTGTATGCGGCTTGTTGGGATGGGTCGGCGGCGCGAGTACTGTATTCATGCCACGATTCCTGTTATATTAAGTCGTTGAAGACGCAGGTTAGTAAGGATCTCTAACTCACGTTTTTCTCGTTCTCTCTCTCGCCCTCAGTCGCTCTTCATGGAGCAAATGTCCATAGCTGACTTAAGGTATCACCAATCAAATGGAAAGCTCATGATGGCCTCGTCACCTGCGTGGACTGGTCTGGAACTACAGATTTGATCATTTCTGGAGGCGAAGATGGAAAATTTAAGGTATGTTCTGTAGCTCTCGTTGCAGCTCTCCTTCACGCTCACTCTCCGCCTTTCCTCCTCTGTCCTCTCTCTCTCTCTCTCTCTCTCTCTCTCTCTCTCTCTCTCTCTCTCTCTCTCTCTCTCTCTCTCTCTCTCCGTTCTCTCTCTCATCCATTTCTCTCGCAATCTCTCTCGGCCAGGGTCGCTCGCTTTCTCTCACTCTCTCACTCTGTCCTTTTCTCTCTCTTTCCCTCTCGTGCGCTCTCTCTCAGTAGAGGAGCCCGAACTTTTCCAGGTATGGGACTCCTTCGGCCGTGTTTTATTCACCTCGGCCAGTCATGAAACCCCGATGACAAGTCTGGCCTTTTCACCCGATGGCTCGCTGTTCGTCGTCGGATCGTTTAACCTGTTGAGGCTATGCGATAAAGCTGGGGTGAGTACCTTAGAATACTCTGGCAGCCGAAATTTTGAAAAATTGGATTTATTCCAGTGGTCCCACAGCGTCGAGCGTCTCGATTGCGGCTCGGTGATGGCGGTGGGGTGGAGTCCAGATGGGACTCAGATCGTGGCTGGTGGCAGTCTTGGACATGTTGTCCATGCTCATCTCGTTGAAAAGTGAGCAAGATGAATTAGCGTATAAATTAACAAAAATATACCTAAGATCACAATTGAACTTTTGCATTTGTTGATTATTATCGTTTAGCTATGTTACAGTACTTTTTAGACGAATTTCGTACCGTAACTGGGACATTACGCAGGCCAAAACGAACCTGATTGAAGTCCGTGATATGGATAGTGAAGTAGCAAGGGAGAAGCTGGACACAAGAGACAGGTAAATATCGAAAAATGAGACTTTTACAGTATACCTATTCAGAATCACAAAATTCTCGATGAACCACGACCATCTCGTCGTCGTCACCAGCAAGCAGATTTATATCTATAGGTAAAGAAAATTCCAATGGGACGAAAAATTGCATTTTTTACCCCTATAAACTCGAACCATGTAGTTTTCTGACCTTAAAAGTACCTGAAACGGTTAAAAAGCATCATAATACACCAAAAAATGACAATTACCCCCGGTTTATTCCAGCTCAACCAGCTGGAACACTCCAGTGCTCGTCGACTTGAAGGAGGGCAGTGTGACGTTGTTGATCCAGACGGAGAAGTGAGTTCTTTATAGAATTTCATGGTGTCTCACAATTTTTAGACTTTTTGTCGTAGCTGACGGCGGCTCGTTGTACTCCTACAGCTATGAAGGGCGCTACATTTGTGAAATTAAAGTGCCGGGGACGGGCGGGAATTTGAATGAGGCGGTAGGTGTTCTAAGCCATGGAAATCGAAAAAGAAAGAGAGAGGGCGAGAGAGTCAGATGGCTAGAGAGAGAGAGACCGAGATGGAAAGAGAGAACGATGAGAGTGAGCGAGCGAGCGAGAGAGAGAGAGAGAGAGAGAGAGAGAGAGAGAGAAAGAGAGAAAAAGAGAGAGAACCTTGATTTTTCAGAACGTTGCCCTCTCCAACGACACCATAGCCGTACGAGACAAAAACGACTTCGCCAAGCTTCACTTCTTTGATCCGAACACCTCGAAAGTACAAGGGGATGGAGCGCTGACACATTCGGTAACCTGGCGACAGATCGCGGAATCACAAAGTAATATTTAGGCGGAAATCTGTTGTATCGGGTTGTCACAATGTGGATCGTTGAGCCAACGAGTGGTTGCTTTTACGGATGTTTCTGCATCGGTGTATGTCAGCCTCGTCAACTCGTTTGGAGCGAATCCGAGGACGGCAAAGATTGGTAGGAGAGAGAGAGAGAGAGAGAGAGAGAGAGAGTGAGAGAAAGAAAGATCAAGAGATTCCACTTTCCCTAATTCCTAATTCCACTTGTAGGTACCCTCGTCGAACAAATCTGCTTCAACGACCTCTCCTCGATGTTGGTGGGGCTCGGAGAAGGCAAAGTAAGGAAATTTTTTGTATATTTAAGGCTTTTTCTTTCTCTTTAGGTATCAGTCTGGCCAATGCCATCCTTAGCTTTCGTCGATCGTGATTTACTTCAACGTGCTGTCGTCGAGAAAACGGTCAATGGACTAGGGAAATTTCCGCATCTTGTCAAGTCAGTTTTTACAGGTGGTCCTGAGCCCGAAAAATTGACTCGAGGCTAGCTCATACATTAATTCGCTTTGAAAAACGGAAAAAGCTACCATAAATAACACAGAAATCATTTTTCAGCTTCACCAAAAACCAGGTGGTTCTGCGACGGTCTGACGGATCTTTGGTCCCAATTGCATTGTCGCCATTTGCCGGAACCTTGCTTGCCCACGCTGATGCCTCAAAATGGGATGAAGCTATCAGACTTTGCCGGCACATTGGGGTTGGCAAAATAGAATAAAAAATGCTGATTTTTATCGTCTTGTATAAATATTTTATTATGAACTGCATATACCGATTTTAGGATGACGTACTCTGGGCAATTCTAGCCGGATCTGCGGCGCAACAGAAAAACCTCTACGCTGCGGAGATCGCCTATGGAGCGCTGGAAGAGGTGAGGAGTTCAGAAATTGGATTTTATGAATGGGAGTGAGCTCTTGAAAAACGCGTCGACCACCTACAAACTATTATAATCCAAAGCTACAAAAACAAGATTTCGAAACTTTCCCAACTTCAAACTCTCTACTAAATTCCACTTATGACCCTCTTTGCTCGCCTTTTTCACATTATAAGACCCATTCAAAGGTCCAAAAAGTCCGGAATCGACCCCTGCGACCGGCTGGGTCTCGACACTTACGCGCTACACCAAATAACTCGTCTTTTCAGCAGCATGCGAAGAGGTCTTTTCAGCAGCCAAAACCTAAGCACAAGCTTACCCCAAGTTTTCAGGGTGAAAAAGTCGCCTTCCTCAGCGAAGCCAGAAATCATCCAAATAAAGACGTCAGGGCAGCAATGCTGGTACTACTAACTGGAAAGGTCAGCAAATTTCTGAAAATCGTCTACTATTGCTCAAAATTCAGATCAGTGACGCCGACGCGATGCTTGAAAGGACCGGAAATCCATTCCGGGCTATAATGCTGAATATTTCGACGTTTCGATGGAACCGGTAAGCGCATTTTTGTTAAACGGTTAACCAGGCTGTTATGGCTTCTTAAATGCGCTAGTGAGTCTGAAAATCGACCTATCTCGTATACTAGGTTTACAGTTACGTGACATGCGTAACCACGCGAGAAAACCCGTTAAGGCGCGCCACCAGCAGGTGCTAAAAGTTATTAAAATTGTCATAAACGTGATTTTGGAGTGTCGCGTAGCTGTCAACACCTAAGCGATAGAAGGGGTTGAGTTTCGCCTTTTTAAATCTTAAATTCAGAGCCCTCGACCTGGCGATAAAACACAAAATGCATGTGGATACCGTACTGGGATACCGGCAGCAGTACCTCGACGAGTTCGGCAAACGGGAAACGGATCAAAAGTTCTTGGAACAGCTCAGCAAGGTAGCACAAGGACTTAAAGGGACCGGAAAGGCATGACGATGAATTTTTCATAAATTCTTGTCCAAAACCACAAATTTTGCCAGGCTTCCCGCGTTCGAAACCTTGGCTCCACTGGCCCCTTTAAACAAAATTTTTTCCGACCTACTAACTTAAATTTTTAGTACGAAATCGACTGGGAGCATATCCAAGAACAAATTGCCGCTGAGAAGGAGAAGGACCATTAAATGCGATAAATTCTTTTATTAAATTCCTGAGCATAAAAACAAAGCTTCAATCACACTTTCTAAGCCATTAAAAAATACCCGCAAATAGCACACAGAGTGGAGTGGTGATACCCGTTATAAAGTTAAAGTATAGAAATGTGCGGTCATGGAAAACGAGCGGGAGAGCGAGAGAGTGAGAGAGTGCGTGAGAGAGGGCGAGAGAGTGAGAGAGGAGAGAGAAAGCGACCGAAATAATCAGATCATTTGCAATTCTTCACAATTGACGCTGAGGCGTTAAAAGTTTGATACTGCCGTGTTTGTCGTCTTCGTTCGGTGCCCGTGTTTTTGATCCATACATCCAAGCGTCTGAAAATGCAAAAATTAACAGCGTGTTGTACAAAAGAATCATAAAATTGACGCGTTAATAGAGCGCAACGTAACGGGTACTCTTATAACCTACTTTCTGATCACATCTTTTCCAACGGCGAACCCATCCTTGTACCGCCACAGCTCGCCGGCCGACTGGGAGGTGTTGCACCAACTAAAAATATGCAACTTATTGATCTGCCTTTCGCTTTCTCTTCCGCTCTCTCTTTCTCTTACACACTCTCTCTCTCACTCTCTCGCTCTTGGGACGTTTAATTCTTACCTGAGATCGCTGAAAGCCGAATCGTCAAACTGGAACTCCCAGGTTCCGAATGCTTTCCGGTTGTTTTTGACGCTAAAAATAGCCGTTTTGAGAAAACTACAGACTACAATTTGTTATACCAATAATAGTTCTCATTCGAAAAATGCCCGTACCTGTTTTTCCAGTTATGAAACACAAAATCATCGTCGCTGAATTTCCCGTTTGTAAGCCAGCCGTCTCTCACGTAGGAATAGGTCTTTGGCAAGAACTAAAAATGCTTTTTGGAAAACGAAGTGCTAGAGGAAGAGAGAGCGAGAGGGAGTGGTTGTGAGAGAGCGAGAAAGAGTGAGAGCGCGAGAGAGCGAGAGTGGGCAAGAGAGAGAAAACGTTAAACGCACCTGAATTCCGGGAATTTCATGCTCATCCAATAGATCCCTGACACAGACTTCATAAAGGAAGAGGCGACAGAATGCCCTAAAACCACCATTTTTATTGCTATACTGTGCGCCTACGTAGCACTCCGCCACCACGTCTCGCACTTTTTGAGGTCGGCCTCGAGGTGGGGGAGGTATTTTCGGATTAAAGTGCTCTAAAATCGTGGTTTTCCAAAAATTAACGATAGAGAAACGCACATGTACAGCGGCGTTGTCACTGCCCACCAGACCCGTGTAGTTTGTATCGCCGGATGCCCAAAAATTGAGAAACCCGCGGCCTCGCTTGTCATTTCTAAATCTAGCCTTCAAATGGGGATTTTTCAGGATATTTCCTGGGTTTCCGGTTGTTTTTAATGGCCTAATGCAGCCGGCATTGTTCGTCCGGAAGACTACTACTAACGTTCTATCTAAGTGTCCCTGTTTTACCATTCAAAAAGTATTCTGCTCTAACCTAACGATGTAGCTCCCAGTCATAATCTCCGAGTTCATCACCCGATTCGTCAAGACCAGAAAAGTGGCGTCATCTTTTGGGATGAAGCGATCGATTTTTTGTCGAGGGTTGATGATACCTGAAACGGAAATTTTATTGATGTTCTGGTAATCCGTCTCTCTCTCTCTCTCTCTCTCTCTCTCTCTCTCTTTATATCTCGCTCTGTCTCTGCCACGCTGTCAAACCTACCCATGTCGGCGTCAAACATGACGAACCATTTATGATTTGTTGCGGCCATTACGTTTGCCAAAATACAATGTCGACGGTACATTTGCTAAAACTTAAGATAAGAATCTTTCTTTCTATCTCTCTCTCGCTCTCTCTCTTTCTATCTCTCTCTCACTTACATCCTCCATTCCACATCCCTCCCGATTCTCCGGCGTCTCATCCACCAGAAAATACGGTATTCCCCTCGATTCCGCGTAGCACCTGACCGTCATTTGGGCAAACTCGTACTCGGTGATGTTGTGCCGGTCGCGGACGAGTACGACGAATGCCACGTCCTAAAAATCGGACACGCAATGTATTTAAGCATTTTTTTTAAGGGGCGTTGTATCGTGAAATACGAATAAAACATACCACTTTCTCCGTGCCATTTAGTAAAATTCTAGATTTCTGTTCTAGTGGATCGATGAGAAATAGGTTTTCGAATGAACCAAAGCTTGTTAGGCGATTGTCTAAAATGGTTTTAAGGTATGTTTTGTATAAAAATAGCTGAGTAATATTTTGCATTTATTTTAAGGCCTTTGTATAGACAAACACGCTGAATTTTGAGGTATAGAAAATCTTACCAGTCCTAAAAAACGTGAAAATAACTACAAATGGTAGCGCTGACAGCAGAATGAAGGCCGTCTTCCATCTTTTGGTCATTACATCTGAAAACTGACCATTATTGGAAAAAAAACAAGTTTTGCTATCAGAATGTTGAAAAGTATAATGTCGCAATGCCATATTGTTGAAATTTCATAATATAGAAATTCAGTATGCCGAATTTTTTGCATAGGTTTTGGAGGTTTTCCAGGCAATTCGCCGATGTAAATTTCGACAAATTTGTATTTCCACATTCTGTATCTTAACATCATGAAATTTTGACATTAGGAAATTGTGCATTGAAAAAACGAAAAACGTACAATAAATTTATTTAAAAGTGAATCAAAAATAAAAGATTTTGGTCTTTTTGAAGCATGATAACACCGGAAATTGATATTGTGTCTGCCGGGGGGTTGCCCGGCAAGCTGAAGCCCAAGTGCAAATATTTCGAACGACCACACCGACGACGTGGGGGCTTTTTAGGGGCCCTATTCGATTTTTCTAGGCAAATATGGAAACTTGGGAAAGGTTATGACATGGAGCCGCAAGTATTTCGGGATCCCTGGTAGCAAATAAACTAAAAAATATGAAAATCAGGTAAGGGTATGTAAAAATTAATAGACAAGGGTGAAATCGAAAGGCTACGAAAAAGTGGGATCGCCCATCGTTTTCTAAGTTTTCAGGGTTGGCTATGGATTTTGCCGACACGCAATGCGCGATTTTGTTTTGATGGCGTAGTGGATTTTGTTCTGCACGTTGTGGACGGTGCGTTGCGTTTCGCGGACCCGAAACACATTGGACATTAAGATTAAATTTGATAAATCTAAATTGCAATTTTAAATTGTGAAATTTGAAATTTAATAAACTCGAGAACTCAGGAAACTATCCTAGCATGGATTCTTGATTGCTAAGGGGCTGTTTCTGAGTTACTACGCTACATTCCGTAGCGTACATAGTAGCGAAACGTCGCCTAACTCTATCGTTGCCAGTTTCGAAGCGTAATTCAGTCAAGTGCCTGGATGGACCCGTCGACTTGTCCGGCGCTTCCCCGGGCCGAATTAATCAACTAATGCCCGGTTGTTCGGGCGGAAATGGGTGGCCCGATGGCCGATGAGCAACCCAAAAAAGCGCATTTTCAATGGGATCCACCGGTTTATGAGGGGCAGAGCAGTTGCGGAACGAATTTAGAAGATATAGTTGTGCTCAAAAATATGAATAAGGTTCCGGAACCGTGCAAAAAGACGTTAATCTGGGTGAGAATCTACACCGCGTGATCGGATAAATACGCGGGCGCCGACAAGTTTGTTTAGTGAACGCTGCAAAATAAAATTTTTTGAGAGCATCAAGGCGCTAAAATTGAAATGGTTCCTGTTCAAAAAGCACAAAACCCTAACCCGAATTTGAGGCCAAAATGGGTTCGACGAAATTTGACCCGCGGTTCGGAGGGCGTGGAATGTAAATAGAGGATTCCATAGGAGGTTTTTCTTGTCCGGAAACGTGTCAATTTTGGGCGTAGCCAGAGCCAGGTAAGTCAGGAGCGCTTGTATTTTCCGATATAGTACTCCGAACATGCGTAAAAAAATTACAGAAATGATACAGCCAAAGGCGTCGGTCTAGCGAAATATGGAAAGAGAGCGAGCGAGAGAGAGAGAGAGTGGGTGAGAGGGAGAGGGATACAGAGAGAGAAAGTGAGAGAGTGAGATCGAGCGAGAGATATGAAGAACCCATAACTCCGCCATTTACGCTCTCTAATGCGTCTGCGCTGCGGGACCCAACCGCTTGCAGACCTTGCCCAAACCCACCCTGGAGACGAAATGTTTGGAGTATTGAGAGTAGGTGGGAGTTCTCAACTAGTAGTTTGCCTCTCTCTCTCTCTCTCGCTCTCTCTTTCTCTCCCTCGCTCTCTCTAGCCACCGTATTGTTTACCCACTTCTCACTCGCTTCCCCCGTCTCGTCGTCGGCATATTTGGCCGGGATTTGTGCTCATCACACTCCGCAACACTCCCCTGTACCTACACCAGCCACGGATATAAATGGGCCGGAAACTAGTTTTTTATTGGGTATTGGTACTTCGGTGTGTTCAAAACTGTGTCGTGATGCCGGGGGTGGCTGTAATAAAACAAAGGAATTCAACCGATAATAACTATAAACAGGGAAATACATATTTTGCTTTGACCTGCTAAATAAATAATGGCTTTCAACGTATTGATTTTTTTGAACAACTCTCAAATAAGAAGGAACTGGGAAAATTAGTAACACTTAAATGTAGAATAACATGATACCGAAGTATGAAAGTATAAAGTATATTGATATAGTATAAACTAGCCAAAAATCTACAACGTCATAGCTGTATGTTCGTCATAACCAACCAATTACCAGGTCCACCGGATTGTCATCTCCGAAAAAAGGGGTTTAGTGGAGCTTCCGCATCGGGTGCAAAGGTTCATTCAGGTCGGACAGCCTTACATTCTGGCAAATGATCCAGCGCCAAAAAAGCCCTATTCTTCCGTACTTTACACCTTTCGTTACATTCTACACGTTTACTGGCTCACATCCTACACCATGGCCATCTAGACTAGGCAGCTGGCCGCTCACCCAATTTCGCATCAAAAACTCTTGAGGATCCACCTTTAATTGGATTATTAGCATGTTTTGTAGGCAGTTTTGAGCGAGAAAAATGGCCATATATGATTGCGTTTGAATATTGTTAGAAAAAGAGCGAAATAGAACAGCATTTCACGGAAACTCGTCAAAAAAAATTTTTGGGATCCAACCGCTAAAAGCCGATTGGCGAGATAAGCGAAAGTCGCCTCGATAGCACGCAAAAAGCAAATCAATCGTTTCTTCAAACCAAATTTGAGCTACGGCTTGTCGGACCAGGTAAAGCGTGCAACACCGTTCAGTCGGTTTTTCTGAAAATGAAGACAAATTTTCTGAGCGTTCGGCGGGTTTTGCAGGTGACGCAACGTCAGAATAGACACAACGTACAAAAACACACAACGTTCGCCATTTTGCAACACAAGCTTAGACATTCTAACAGCCCAAAAATCAATTCCAAAAAACCCGGGCAGCCATTTTTTTCAGGGCGAGCGCAGAATTTGCGACTACCGACGGCCTCTCACCGGTGTCATTGCCTAGCAACTGTTAGTCTCCTTGTGCCGGATGAATGTCCGGAATTCCCGCCAGATTAGGGCTTTGTTTATGGAATTTTCTGGAGAGGGCCGTTAGAGTGGCTGAATTTTTGCGCTTCAGCACCCAATTTAGTGACAAATTTAATCCAGAAAAGCGTAGGTGGAGGGGCAAATTTAAGGGCGGCTTTGAGGCATATAACCGAAATTAAGGCCGATCAAGCGATTTCAAGAGTTTTTAGACAGTTTTAAAGTGCAAAAGAACGTTAAGGACTGTAGGAAAACGTAAACGTAACGTAAATGTCAGGCAGGCGATTCACATCGCCGTGACGGTGCATTTTGATTCACCCGTGAAAGTGATGTTATTTGTCGAAAAGGCGCGATTTTGCTGGAAGCTTACTAGCCGTCAGACTGTCTCCTAATTTAAATTTTGTAGTATATCCAAAAAAACAGTGTATTGAAACTGACAACATGAGCGGCAAAACCTCGAAAAATTGGCTTACCACGATAAATTTACTATAAAAAATGGCTCATTTAGTTTTTGGGGTTTTTCTAGGTGGTTGGTTGAATCCGTCGTGGAGGTGGTTAACTTAAATTTTTAAGGTATTTGAATTCTATACGATTTTGAGAAAAAGCTGTCTTAAAATTAACAAAATTACCGTAAAAATCGAAAAATTAGGGTTCGCGCGATAAGATTACGCCAAAAATTTGTAATTAAATTTTGGATGATTTCTACTTTGTAGTAAAACTCTATTAGCGGTTTAAAATGATAATTAAATTCTGTAAAAACGATAAATAAAAATCAATAAAAATCCATTTATTGCCAAGTGAAGATTTTTGACTGTGAAGGGGGCGTGGAACTGGTAGAGCAGAAGTATGGCCGTCATTTGGAAAGTTCGGAATCTGGCCCGAAAATGCACAAAGAAAAACAAATAAAAATACACGATAAAGCACCATAAATAACGAATAAAAATAAAGAGAAAAATGAAAATCTATCAATAATATTGGGTGACCGGGTTTGTGGGTTTTGACGGGGGGTGAGGAGCGGCCTTATCGCCAGCTAGGCTTTTCCTCTATTTGGCCATGCACAGCCTTTTGATACGATGAATATTGCCAATAATGGTAAGGCAATAGTCGTATTAGATCAATATTAAATTTAAGTGTAGAAATAGTAGGTCTTAAAGGGACGGAGAAGGCAAATCCATAACTTTAGCGGGTATTTTTTACCACCTGTAATTTCAAAAATTTTGATTTTGAATTGATTTTGTTTTAGATTTTTCTCATCTCAACTTAAATTGAATTTTACTTTATCAACTTTTAGAATTTGCAAAAAAATATTGCAAAAATAAATACCGTAACCGGCGAAAATTCCAAGAAATATCTTTTCAAAATTTTGGGAATTTGAAAAATCCACAGCTTTCATGCCTTCCCGGTCTCTTTAAAACCCCGAAAATTTTTTGAATGCTCTTTTTAATGGAAAGTACGGCCCACTGAACCTTTGAGGACCCTGTAAAAAAATATAAATAAATTATATAAAATTACAAAAAGTTCTAGACAACCTTGGGGATCCAATTCTTACCCAGTCATTTTTAAAGCTAAAAACTATCGTAATAAAAACTTCAGATTATGGTAATTCGGAAGATTAGGTTGTTTCGGTTCTACCGCCTGAATATCCTAAAATTGGACAAAATTTTCGAAGGTGACAACTGGGCGAATGGGGAGACGGGGGATGTTAGTTGGGAGGCGGCTGATGTTTTTTGTGGAAGTGACTTGGTTTGTAGTGACTTCGGCCGTGATGGAGGTGCCGGGGAGGGAGGCTGAAAAATGAGAATGTAGAAATAACTATCGAACGCTTTTCGAAATTCTATAAAAGCTGGTACCAATTATTTAGAGCCGATGGCAATTTCCAAAAACTTTTTTTCCTAATTCCAGTTCTCAAAAATGCATTTTCGATTTTAGCGGTTTAGAAGAAAAAAATATATAACGAAGTGAGTTAATGGACTAATCGACCAAGTAGGAACGCAAAAATCGATCCCTACCAGGGACCGGATATTGGCAGCAACGCCTCGCACCAAATGACGTTTATTCTTTGAATTTTGTTTCGAGCCAAATTTCCCTTAAAGCTCATCAAAATATTTTTTTTTTGAATGCTTAGAGCCATAATAAATCATTTTGGAAATCATAATTTGGAATATCTCATGGCTGTCGATACCTAGCCGACGTAAGAGGTCGATTTCCGCGCTTCAAGGACTCTTTAAAGGTGGTGTGAACCTTGGAAAATAATGATTTACGAACTTTACGAAAATTTGCAAATTACCAATGCCGATGAAAAACGTGATTTATTATTGATTTTCGATCTGTGTGCTTACCGATCTGACATTCCCGTTTTGGGATCGCCTCTCCGGAAGTTCTTGCAGGATTGGCTCTTTGCCAAGGTTTTCCTGACTCTTGAGAAGCTTCTGGAAGTCGAGGGCCGGCGCGTCGGCTTCGTGCTCCTAAAACAAATTGTTGACAGGTTTTGTAAAAGGGCTAAAAAGGGCTAAAAATCGTTTATTCTACATCCTGCAACGTCAAAAACAGCAACAAAAATACCTGGAAATCCTCAATATCGACCAGCAACGAGTCGTGCTCCATATGCAACGTATCCCTTTCGATTAGTAACGAGACGAGCTGATGGTTTTTCGCTAAAATGCCGAAATTTTAGAAAATTCACGGCTTTCAGGGGGTGTAATTGGTCCAGAAACTTACTCGCAATTGCGTTCTGTATCTTGTCAAGGATCTCTTGAATTTCGGAAGTTGACAGCCTACTCAGGAGTTGTCGACTTTGTCGTGGGATCTCGCAGGCCCGAGACTTTGTTCTCCTGAAAGGAATTGGCTTGTTTTATCACTGATTTTTACAATCTAATATAAATCATTATATCACTCATTATACATACAAAGAGTTATGACTATTCAAAAATTCTTTTTTTATCGAATTCAGATCATTAAAACTTACCTATAATCTTCTAACGTTTTTGCACCGGCTTCTTTCGATTTTGCCAGTACGACATTCGTTTCGGCGTTAAGAAGACGCTGTCGCTCGGCTAAAAAATAATTTATATATTTTTTTGCTTAAAGCTGGCTTTTGTCGTTTCTAGGCAATTATGTGGCTTTTTTTAGACAATTACCTTTTTACTTCTTGACAATTTTTGCATTTTTCAGGTTCTTGCGCCTTTTTATCTTTTCTTTATCTATCATTAACTTATTTTTAAGAATTTTTAGGGACCCCAAACCGCTTTTCCTTCTTCTCCAAGTTTCGGTTCCCATTTTTGACTCTTTTGTTGCTTCAGGAAGCTAGGAAAAGCTTTGAAAAGCACGAGTTGCCGGTCCGTAATCCCCCGGAATGCCCTCCTTCTCCCCTTCCCATCCATCAGACTAATCCCCTCTCGGGCCAACGGGGCGTTCAAAATGGCTCTCTTCTTGGTGGCTAAATAATTAGCCTCGTTTTAAAGCGCAAAAAGCCTAGAAGTCGCCACCCTCATCAATATTGATCTGAAGGAGGAAAGAGGATAGAAGTTGCGAAAAGCGACGAAGCTCGGAAAAAGCTCAATAAATCGATAGATAAAGCATAAATTCGTCTTTTGATCTCGTTCTTTTGTGAATTTCGTGGTAATAGAGCCCGGGATTATTTTCAGCCTCCGAAGCAAAAAGCAAAAGTTTTCGACCGTGACAGGACTCGAACCTGCAATCTTCGGATCCGAAGTCCGACGCCTTATCCATTAGGCCACACGGTCATGTGGGGGAGAGTGGTGAGGTGGTTGATCAAGGGTGGACGGCCCCCCAACAGGGTGAATTATGCACACCTCCCTCCCTTGGGTCCAAACTTGGAAAAATGATAGATTTTCGGAAACGGGAATTGAAACGTTTAATTTAAATTAGCATATGTAAATGATTTATGCAAATTGCCTATTATGGCTTATAGCGCGTCTAATAAATCTAATTATAACCACGAAAATGAAGATTCAATCCATTTTCTAAGTATTTCGCAAGGTTTGTTTTTCTTGTCCGCTCTCACCAAATTGTTTCAATTAAAATACTTTAGCTTTTTGGATAGATCAGCATATTTAAATAGCGCTATTTTAACGATATTTTTCCCTAGCCTAGCCGTTTACATAAATATTCTAGTCCCCAAACGAAAATTCCCCAAAAAAAGCGGTTGCTAGGCCGTGGCGGGACCCCCCGTTGATGCATTAGCCCATATTCATCTTTTTCTCCTTTTTCTTTTTTCCTAGCTGGGGGCGGCCGCCGTTTGACCCGGAAATGGGGAATTCAACGGATGGATGACCCGGGCTCGCTTTTTTTTCTCTTTTATCTCATTTTTTCCACCGGGGCGTCTAATTAAAAAAATGGGAGGAGAGGTGCGGAAGCGAAATTTGCATAGATGGATTAGTGGGATTTAATTAAAAGTATCGATAATAAATGTTGACCAAGATGAAGCTTTATTTAAAGGTTTTCTCAAATTGCCAACGTCATTTAAAGCTCAAAATTAGTGTCTGGCTAGTTTTCACGGTCTTTTATTGTCCTAAACTTTCTTAGATTTTACCACAAATTTTTCAAGCGCATTTTAACGCCTTTCCCAGTTTTTTACATGATTTTCTGCCCCAACTACCGTACCCGGATCCAATTTCTGCCCCTCCTCGGCCCGTCTACGCAGCTCGTTGACGATCGGGTCTTCGCGCTTCGCTTTTGACTTAAGGCAGGGAACGGATCGGCTTTTCGACATTCGGCATTCCTCGTCGCTTTCTTAAACAAAAAAATTATTGAAAAGCGACGATTAAAGTAAAACAAAATTAGCTGTAAAGGGTGTAAAAATTTGTATGAATATAGTAAGATATGTATGATAAATGATCTGTAAGAATTACCGGAGCTTGAAGCTGCTTCGCTTGTCTCGCTTAACTCGTTGATGTAGCAGACCTGGAAATAAAAGTTGAAGAGAAAGAGAGAGAGAGAAAGAGAGAGAGAGAGAGAGAGAGAGAGCGGGTGCGGGAGAGCGAGAGATGCAGCTTTTAAAGGGCCATTGAACCCTGCTCACCTGTAGATTCATCCCAGTCTGCAACCTCATGCCCATCGGCCGATTTTGTCGGTTGGTCAACATTGGTGACGGGCTGGAGTAGGTGTCAATTTGAGTTGCTAACCGCTTCCGGACCTGAAAAATGTCGTTTAGAAAATCTTAAGCACATCAATCCGGAGTTTCAAATTTATCAAGTCATTTTCCTACAGAAAATCGTTGTTTTCCAGCTTAATGTTAGGCTTCGCTATGTGACAATTAACGTAAAAACAGGCTGCAATTACGCTCAGAATTTCAGCTGACCGATTTCGGGCTGAAAAACTTCGTAAAAAGCAAAATCCAGACGGCGAAAACGCAAATCCATACGCCGCCCGGAATTCCGGGACCAAATTCCGGAAAATTTTGGAATTCGAGACGCGGAGGAGATGTGTGAAACCTTAGCCCCGGCAAAGGGCACCAATGACCCGCAAAAATTTGCTATCCTGGTGGTGGTGGTGGCAAATGGATGGAAATGGAAATTCGGGGATAATGGGGGGATGGATGGGGAGGTGAAAAATGAGGCGTATAATTTGGGGAGATGTGATGGCTAATTTTAGTGGATAAAAAGAGTTAAAAAGCTGGTCTTCGCATAGGCTTAGGCTTAGGCGGCTTGGGCTTGGGCTTGGCTTAAGCTTGGCTTAGGCTTGGCTTAGATTTGGATCAGGCTGGACTTACGTTTGGCTTACAGTTAGGCTTGGCTGAGACTTGGGCTTTGTCTTAGCTTTGGGCTTAGGTTTGGGCTTATGTTTGGTTTGAGGTTACGCTTAGGCTTAGTTTAGGCTCGGTTAATCTTATTGTCAGGCTTAGGCTGCTGAAACGGGTTGAACCTGGAGCATTTTACATTTGGGGGCCCCTAGCTGGAAGCAACGGCCGGGGGTGCTGCTAATTTGGCCTCATTTTGGGTTCGTTTTTGTTCTCCTTTCCAGTAAAAAAAAGATCGACTTTTGGACGGAATTAGTTGCGTTCTGAAACCTCGTGAGGTAGACATTATTTCAATGCCAGAGTTGATTTTAAATGTGGCAAAATTTTAGAATCGGAAATAACGTGGATCTACGCTGGTAAATTAGGCTAGATTGTTTGTAAAAATTTGGGGGCTTTCTAAGATACCGTTCCCCGCGAATTCCGTTATTAAATTTTGATTTAGCTTCAATAGTTTGATATGCTCCATTTTCCAAAATCCTCTGGCAGGTGAAAAACACCGTAACGACAGCTGCAAAAAAAAGAATTTCCGGCCAGAAAATGCGAAAAATGGCAGACACGTGTCGACGGCCGGGCCGCCCCGGGTTGTCATTTCGAATTCAGACACGGCTGGTTATTTATGCGAAAATAGGGGCAGAAAAGCATGAAAAGGAGGGGGCAAAGTTCAGGATCGAAGGGCTGAGGAATCATGGTTTTTGTTGTCAAATTTCAGGTTTCTTGAAACCTCAATTGAATAAATCTCTATGATTTAAAGTGAAAAAACAACAAAATTTTCCTTAAAAATGCTGAAAATCCAGGAGGAATTAAGATTACGCAGGATTAATTCTATCAGTTGATGTCATGGCACCTTTAAAATTCTCTACAGTAAGATGATCTGACCTCTTCACCCAGCCATCTCCTCTCCGAGTCCTCACGCTCCTTGGCGGCCGATTGGAGCTGTTTCTCGAGCCGATCAAAATCCAGTGTCGGCATATTCGTGTCGAGCTCGTCGACGCTTTCCCGAAGGTTTGTTATCCGGTCCTGAAACAAAATTCATACCATAACTGATTAATTTAAAATTCTTTAGACTTTATATATAAAGTTCCATCTTGAAAAGCTTGCTCTGTTGTTTCAAAAAATCTTAGAAAATTTTAGTATGTTGCAAAAGGCTCCAAAGTAATTTCGGAAGGTCAGATATCATTAAAAAACTAGATAATCCACCAAAAATATTCTGCATATTTTTCCCCTGCGTCTAGACATAAAATTGACACCCCAGCCCCTTCCTATGAGGCGTCATGATCAGATTCCGGGGTGTCTGCCGTAAACAACGCACAGCATTAGGCTTACTCTCTAGGGGCTCAATATAATTTTTTTAATTTTTTAAGATCACTGACTTACTACCATATTACTGTTACTGTTGCCATTGATACGGTAAAACTGCTTCATTTTATTTACCTTCAACAAAAATGAATCCATGCTGATGGAAGTTGAGGGTGGTCTTCGTAGTAACAAGAGTGAAGAAGTTGATGGTAGCGTTCCGACCACAGAATCACGTCCGGAGGAACCTTCTCGGGATGGGGCCACCGAAGACTCGGGGTCCAACCTGGAAAATATGCAAATTCAATTCAAAGAGCGGATATTTTTTTCTAAATACGACGGCATAGCTTGTTAGGCAAGATTCTAGGTCACGAAACTGCTTTAAAGGGTTTGGAAAGCGCTGGAATCTACCCTCGTTTGTCGATTGGGTCTCGACAACTACACGTGACACCAAATGACGCGTTGAAGCGCCTTGTAAAGCGGCGAACGTCTAGAACTTCCGGAAAAATCCAAGGATTTTTCTTTACTTTGGCTTCGCACGGAATTGGCGAAACCTAGTCAACTCGAGAGGGTCGATTTTGTCCCTAACAGTTTTTCTGAAGGGACTTGGATGGCAAAATTCATAGTTTGGGCCACAGGACTTCAGACATTGCCTGAAATCGAACTCTGATTTAACTTTAAACGCCCGTGCTCGCTATGCGCAAGCGTGTAGACGCGGAAATTTCCGATTTCAAAAACTCATGCCCATATTCGTACAATTTTCTACACGAGCAAGCTATCAAAGATCCCTTAAGAGGTGAATTTTTGACTAAGAGCCTACTCGAAGTTAGAAATAATCCTGAAGGGGCTATGTTTGGAAGTGAGAAGTCACCCGCTCCTCCTTGCCGTTACCCATCCCTTCAGAACCTTCCAAAAGGACGAAACAAGTGGATTATACCGCGTGAATAGACACGTCGAGTAGTCACTGGCTACTCCCGCGCGCCAAACCCCGTGAATACACCCCAGATTTTTGGCTTTCGAGGGTTTCAAATTCGCATAGGGGTGACAGAAACTGCAAACATTCGGTAAAAATCGAGAAAATGACCAACTTGTACTCGCTGCCGCCGGAAGTGAAAGAAGATGAGGTTCCTTCGCGTTGCGGTGAGTGTCCAGGGGTGTCTCGTGTAGAACAGGTGGAGGACATTTCGAAAGAATCCTCGGAGCATGAGGTCGAGCCGTCGTCGGGTTCCTGAAGGTTGAAATTAATAAATTTTGCATTTTCTAACTATCGCTCTCTTTCTCTCCCTCTCTCTCTCTTTCTCGCTCTCTCTTTCTCTCCCTCTCTCTCTCTTTCTCGCTCTCTCTTTCTCTCACTCTCTCTCTCTCTCTCTCTCTCTCTCTCTCTCTCTCTTACCTGGCTGCCCATATGATTCAGCAAGGACCCAGGGCTCGAGTCCAAACTTTCGAGCGACGATGCATGCGAAATTTGACCGGATTCGGGCCCTGCCGAGAACGCCTTCAAGAACCCGAGCGATATCGAGCTCATCTCCGGATGGTGGTTGTTGTTGAGGGCACTGAAAAACAGAATCTGAAGAAGTATAGATACTGTATCGTTAGATTCGATTTTATCCTAAAAACAGGACAAAAGATTTTTGCAGGAAAGGTCATCGACTAGAAGACAGCTACCAAACTAGAGTTAGAATTTGATTTCCGGCGCTGTTGAGATCCGAAAAAATGCAACTTGAATAGTAGTCAGCAGATATTGTACCGTGAAATCGGATTTTCGGGTTAATTTTATCGTGGAGAGCAGATCGAAAAACTCGTGAGCAAGAGAAGGAGCAAGGAAGAAGGAGGAAACGGTAATTTTCACACAGCTTTTGCGAAAAGTTTTGGGGTTTTTTTCAGGGAGTAGTTGAGAGCTCCTAACCCACTATCGTATTCCACCATCGTTCCTTTTTTTCCTACTTACCTGAGACTGGTGCCATCATCCGGGATCCGCCCCTCGGCCATCAACTCGGCCAACGCCAGGCTCCTCCCAGCTATCGTCTCCATTTTGAGAAAGCAAAAAAGCGAGGAGAAGATCGTTTTGGGGACGCTCTTCTGCTAGTCGGGATATCTGGAATTGACAGGTTAATTGGTCTACGGGGTACGACGCAGAGATTAAGGACCACAAATTGGAAAGCTCGAAAAACGGGAATGACACGACGAATGGCTGTAGATGACAAGAAGAAGACAATTAGTAGACGTCAAATTCTGGAACGGTCTAATCAAAATCCGGGAGCCGCAAAAACAAATCCTAAAGAGTCATTGCTAGTTGGCTGGAATTTGCTTTTCGGGACAAATGATCTCTGATAGCTTGCCTGTTGACCTGTCGAGAAATAAATAAGAGAGAGGGACAGACAGGGAGCGAGAGAAAGAGAGAGAGAGAGAGAGAGAGAGAGAGAGAGAGAGACTGAGCGAGAGTGAGGAGAGCTAGAGTGAGTGAGATAGTGAGTGAGAGAGAGCGAAAAAGCGGTAAAGCGCGAGAGAAAGAGAAAGAGAAAGAGAGAGAGAGAGCGAGTGTGGAGCGAAAGAGTGTGAGAGAGCTAGAGAGAGTGGGATAGTGAGCGAGAAAGAGCGAGAGAGAGAGAGAGAGAGAGAGAGAGAGAGAGAGAAACAGAGTAAATCAGATCGTAATCGGATAAAAACGGAGATATGAAAAAAATTCAGGAAATCGTCCGTAAAATCAAAAAAGACCTCTTTTCTGTAATTGGCTGGAAGTTAATGTTTTAAAAAATGTGCACCAGTCAGAAAAAAATCCGCTCGACAGCACCACCCCCCAATTTGTTACCAGGTGGCCCGGGTGGGAGGCAAAAAGTGCCGTGGTTGGTATAGGGGCTGGCCCAGTTTTGGCTGCTGAGACTAACGGGGGCAATTTGCGCGGGGTGCTGCCCACTGGCCAGCCAGGGCCCTAGAAAAGTGTTCTTCTTCTTTTTCCGTGTCGAGACCTTTCCCTCCTCCACCCCTTAGGGCCCACACCCAGCGAATTTTCATGAATATTCGATGGGGGTAGGGCAGGGGCGGAGAAGAAGAAGCAGGCACAACCACTCTCCACCCCTCTTTTCAGGTCCACTGCTAAAAACATTCAGAACTTTGTGGGAAGGGGGAGGAGGAAATGTATGTCTGAAAATGGGGTAAGACTCGTACTTTAAGCCTTGTAGTTTCAAGCCGAGGCACTAAAAATTGGAACCTTAGGGCCATAATTTACAAGCCTAACAATTTTAAAGGGACCGTGACCGCTGGAACCGAGATTTTACATCAGTATCTTGTAACTTTAGTATAAAGCGCTACGATAAATGCAAAATAAATGTAAGAGAACTTGAAAACGCCAAAATCGACCGAATCGTTGGCTAGGTCTCGGTTATTTCAATTGCTGGTTAAAGCTTTGTCGAGACCCAGGCGATAGAGGGAGTTGACTTCGTACTTCTCAATTTGTGAAATACTTCGAAGATCAGTATCAAGTGGCTTAAAACTCAGAAAGCATAAAATCATAATCGTAAAGCTGCCAAAAAAATTGGAGCCCACGCTTGGTAAATTATTTCCCGGGAAAACACGAAAAAGCCTCACGCAAGGAAGGGCCCTGACAAACAATAGGAAAGTGGAAGGCGCAAAAGCACGAAAATCGGAAAACGGCCGGAAAATTGGTTTGGGAAATGTTTTTACACAAAAGACGGCTAATGTATTGAAAACATGGGAATATTTTGGGTTTAAAACTTTGAACTAAAAACTTATTTTTAATTCTGAAGATTAAAAAAATGAAATAATTAGCGGCGATAAATCTAATAAGAAATGATTGTTTGAAATTCTGAATTCGTTATAACTACAGTAGTAAAAATTTCCTAAATTAGTTTTCATGGATACGGCATAAACATAACGTATCATTAAATGAACAAAATCTGCCAAAAAAGATAGCAAATTACATCAATCAAATGGAACGGAAAGAAAACGATAAAAACCAACAATTTGTTCAGGACACAATCCCCGTCTGCGGTGGTTTGGGAAGTCGACAAGGAAGAAAGAGAGAAGAAGAAACCGGTAAGACTGTGATAACATTCGACGGGGCAAATTGACCGGCAAATAGCCCCCGCTCACCGCGGCCACACGGGATTACAGATCCGAAAAAAAGAGAAGAACCCAGTAGAAAACGATGTATGATAATTACAAGTGCAATTGCAGTTTTCATGAATTGGACTCGCATTAACGGCAACATGAAGCCTAGAAAGCCACCTTTACAACCAGCTAGGCACCGATAACTACGTGTAGCACCAAAATACGCCTAGAACGGCATAAGATGCTGCTTCATAGTTTATTTTATAGGCGGGTTTTAACGAAGCTGAGCCTTTCCGCCGCCTTTCGTAACTGTCGGGGCCTAGCGATTTGGAGGGGTCGATTGTGGAGTTTGCTAGCTCCTTCAGACGGGTTCCGTCCAGCCGATTACGCTATGAAATTTGATAGCCGACATTTTTTCATCATTTTATCGCGTAACCGATTGGGTCAACGCAGAGATAGGGGCAGAATTTTGCCTTCCAGGTCTGCTGAAACGGTTTAAAAGGCCGTTAAAGTCGCTGCAACAAAAATTCTAGAATTTCAGTTGTCATCAAGCCACAAACGACACTTGGATGGAGTAATATAAGGTGACTAGAAATCAACATGACAATCAACAGAACCATTATTATGCTGTAATCGTTTAGGCCCGGTAAGATCTATAATTTAGCCTTCCAGGTTCCTTTAAACCCGCTTAGCGCCGTTTTTATACCGTGAGCGGCCAGGTTGGCTAAAGGAAGGTTTTTGATTGTGCCTTCCAAGCTCCTTTCAAGAAGTTTAGCATCAAATATTGCTTCAGGAAAGCTCTGGTAGGATTTAAAGGCCCGTTAAAATCAGCATAATGCTAAAAAACCGAGAATTTGATTATATTCTGTATCAGAATAACCATTTGGATGAAGTAATAGAAGGTGACTAAAGGGCACCAGCACCATCACCAGGACCACTTTCCTCTTCTCCTGCTCCCCCCCCGTCGTCTTCGGCTGCGGGGAGGAGGAGGTGTCCCGGGGGGTCAAGGAGAAAAAGGGCGAGATTTATGGATAACAGCGCCCAGTCGCAGCCGCAATCGGCACAAGAAGAAGAGAAAGGCAAATAGCCCCAGGGCACACATTGAGGAATCGAGAGAACAAGTGGGAGGGGAGAAGGAAGCAAAGATTTCCAGGCAGAGATCAAACTTCTGGGACGAAGCTACAGGATTTATCCGGTTTTAAAGGGACCTGAAAGTCATGGAAATTGTTTAAAGGGGCTGTGAAGTTTCAAATCAACTCCTTTTCGAGACTAGATCTCGATAAAATACATCAACTTGCACGATGCGTCGAAATACGCACGAAAGATGAGCTTGAATACGTCATAGGAGCAAAGCGTAGCCGTCGAGATTTAGCCGAAAGAAAGGGTCTTCTGGAGTTTACAGGATTCTGGAGACATTTAAGCTAGTTGCCTTCTCAATACCTTTGAACTCCTAAACATCTACAAAAGCACCAAAATTCCGCAAATTTTCTCTGCTAGCTGACCTTGTTTTGCAGGAAAATATCAAAAGTCACCAAATTATATGTGTTTTGATGAATTTCCCTAAGAATCTTTGCAAGCTTTCTGATTAAAGTAAGGAAATCGTCAGAATAGTGATAGCATAATAGCCGTATTTACCTAAATAATCTCTATTAAGTTAATTAATTGAGTAACAAGAGCCTCGAAATCTTTACAGATTACGGTAATTCAGCCGAATTTCCCCAAAGAATCTCTGCTAGCATGCCATCCCAGAGTAAAAAGGACCAATACTCTGGTTGTGGTTTCGTATGTCTATCTATCCGTTTGTCTGTTTTTCCGGCGTCTCACAGCTCCTCCTCCCTGTCAGTCTCCTCCCGCCCGGGGGGACCGGAAACAGGATTTGGGCGGAAAGGGGGGAGGAGGTGTATGTCGTGATGAGATTGGGAGGACCCACGGCGAGTATGTCGACAAGGGAGGCAAGAAAGAGAGACAGGAAACGGAAAAGAAAAGCACGAATTTCGCCAAACACACGGTGGGGCCACAAATTGGCCCTGGGCCCTCCTACGGCAACATCTCGAGGCTTTCCGAGAAAGGGCATGGCTAGCTCGAGGTTCTGATGAAACAGGTTTAAAGTCCTCAAGGAACCAGATACGTTAAAATTTCAGGCATAACTTAAAAGCTAAAAACGATAATTAAGTAAGCCAGATGAATTAGTGACAAGCGGCCAGATCCTGCTGTCCAAACGCCTTTAAAAGCAGCGGCAAGGCATAGCCCTGGATTTACCAGGCTATGGATTTTCTAGGCATTTTCCTACACCCGCAACAAGAATTATCCGTGGCGTATTACAGAATCGACATTAAGTCCGTAGCCAAAAGAAAAGCCATAGCATGCCTTCTCAGCCCCTTTGAAAATCCTCGGCTAGTGAAAGCCAACAAAATCTCCTATTTCCATCGGGTGAAATGGGGAGTGAAATGGCTGGAGGGCACCTCCAGAAGGGGCGCAGTCGGAAAATGGAGATTAGAAGCTGCCGGCCAGGTGGATCGGGTTTCTATTAGTTTTTTTGCGCCCTCCAGTGCGTTTGAATGGGAAATTGACAAGAGGGTGGGTTCAGAAAACAAAAGAATTGTCTACACCAACAGCAAGGATATCGTTAGTATGTTTCTAGACCTAGAATAAATTAAATTTTCAAAAAAATCGCTGGAAAATTCGATGAAATATTTACGTAAAAGCAAAATAAATGTAATTTTGTAAAATCGAAAAATTTAACTAATCGAACAATTTTGATTGGATAATTTACTAGCTAAATTACATTTTTAATTAGTTTTTGACGTTAAGACTATATAAGAATTCTCTATACAATTTAGAAACATTTTAGACAGAATTTAGCTAAAGGCCATAAAAATCCAGCTCGGAAATTCTGAAAATGGCAAAATATATCTCAAAAACGAAGAAAATCGTCGTAATAACAAAATTATGGAAAAATAACT